AATAAGAAATACAGTCCCCACAAAGGACAGTTAGTAAGGAGCAGCAAACCTGTCTTTAAAAAGGCTTCCAGAGGCGCCTGGGTGGCTCACGAAGTTAAGCGTCTGCCTTTCATCTGCTCAGGCCATGATCTCAGATCCCTGAGATCAAGAGCCCCGTGTGTCTGCCTGCTCTTCCCTCTCCCTCTCCCTCTGCCTCTCCCCTCCCTGCTCATTCTTTCTCTCAATAAACAAATAAAATCTTCTAAAAAATAAATGCTTCCAAAAGTGAGCTTGGCTACTTTCCCCCTCAATTGCAATGACTGGCAAAATGATAGCCATTGCCAGAAGCACAGAGACGGTGCAACACGCAGGTCCAGAGCAAGGGATCTCTGTTCTACCTACCTGGACATTAGCGGAACTTCAGGCATTTATCGAAGCACCTCAGAAGGCTGAAATTGCTTATCAGCGTCCTCAGATCTGTGATCGCAAAAAGGTAAAGTTCTGGTCCTACAGCTAAGTTCTTTCCGTTGTTATCAGACTAATGAGAAAAAAGAAAAAAGTCTGTGCCGTAGCCCCTCCCGGTTGGTTCTCTGAGTCGGGCAATCTCGGGCATCCCTCTTGTCCCTAGAACACCCTGTCTGTCCCCTGCTTCTCCAAGATGAAAGACAAGAGAACAGAAGGTAGGCTGGGAGGGTCTGCTTAAGGAACCCTGGACGCCTGCCTGAAATAATGCAGTTGCGCGTGCGCATACACGCAGACACGCGCACACAATGCCTTTGCCTCCAAACCTCTTTATTCTTGCAGAATCCAGATGTTAACCTCCCACCTGGGGGCCCCCAAGCCCTCCCTTTTCATGAATAGTTAAATTGCCGCAGCCTGGCCTGAGCCTCCTCCCACACTCCCTGGTGGTTCACCTTGCCATGGGCAACCTGTCTCCACGTACCATAGGCAAAACCTTGAAATTTTACTCTTGCCTTGAACATAATTAAATTCTTGGGCAGAGTTGGTTTCAATCACTGTTGACTCTTGTTTTAAATAGTAATTAAAAAAAAAAAAATCTAGGCCAAATTCATTTCTTCGTGACTGCAAATTTTCAAATGGTTAAACTTTGTTTCCCTTCTTCTGCGTCTCAAAGATTAAATGTGGCGGCTTTATCTCCTTAGCCCAGGCATAAATGCGTGCAGTTTTTCTCTGCGGATGTAGGTCCCTGTATGTTGAGGGCTGGAGGTGAAGAGGCACCCCTCTTGGGTTGATGGAATAGAGGTGTGTTTATTTTACAAGGAGCAAGGCTCCCTTATTTATGAAATTTGTGCTTAGGATTTCAGAGTTGGTATGTCTGCTAGGATCCCTTGTTTTTCAAAATCGTGGTATTTTGGCAGAAACTGCTGGGAATCCACCAAATCCTCTTCCTTTCCGGGCTAAGAAAGCTGTACGTCATCACAGGTTCCCCGGATGGGGACTCCATTTCCCGGCCTCCGTTGCAGCTGGCTGTGGTCATGTGACTCAGCTCCTGGCTGCGGAAGACCAGGGGAGTGTGGGTGTGTCTTAGCCCACCTTTCCTTTCCTTTCCTCAGGAGCCAAACACAGCCGTGGCCACAGCCAAAATGCACCACAAAGAAGACAGTGCCCTGGAGAGTTAATGGGAAACTGGATGAAAGGAACCTGACTGGGGCAACCCCATGAGCAGAGATCCCACCTCGCTGACGTGGACCTCAGCGAGAGGGAAACAAGGTTATTGTTTTAAAGATTTTATTTATTTACTTACTTCCTTACTTACTTATTTTTGAAAAAGAAAAAGAGAGAGCGGTAGGAGCAGAGAGAGAACCTCAAGCAGAGCCTGAGGTGGGGCTTGATTTAATGGCTCTAAGATCATCACCTGAACCAAAAGCAGACACTTAACCCACTGAGCCACCCAGGAGTCCCCAAAGTGGGGTTTTTAGTCCAAAGCAGCATGTGCTGTAATTCATGTTGGGGAAGATAGTCCCAGGGGTCAAAATAGCCAAGTAGGAATTGATCTAGAATTTCATTGCTTGGCTTGGTTGTCAGAACGACCTAGAGAAACTTTGCCTTCATTTTGTCCCAGCAACAGGAATCGAGATTCGAGACGAGAAGGTAGTGGATTTTTAGGGGTAGTCAGGATTAGGATGACACTTCTGAGGCTTATTTGTGTCTCATTTTCTGGGGCGAGGCTCTCCCACGTCGCTTCTGGAACAGTTATTACCATAGTAGCTACCCAGGCCCCATAGGAAAAAAAAAAATATTCAGGTGCTGCAGGGCTAAAGAGAAGATGTAAACCAAAACCCAACAAGCACCACTTTCCCTGCAAACCTCGGGGAAGGAGATGAGAACTTGGTAGCTGTGCGGGGTCTTAGGAAAGCAAAGTTCGTTAAAGATTCGGCGAGGCTGGAGAGCATTCTGAAGGTGGCAGACCGGAAGTCAGCGGTGAAGACTTAACTGGCTGGAGTTACTTAGTGGGGCCATGATTGTTTTCAAAAGTGGGTGCCCCGGTTGTGACCCCCCCCATTGTTCAAATAGTCTCCCCATTGTCATCTTATATTAACTTCCTGTGCTCATTCCAGCTTGGTTACTAACATCAAGGTTCTAGATTTCCTAATGTTGTTTTGTCCTAGGAGGTGTTAGACACCAGATTTGTGGCTTACCCTTCATGGGCTTGGTGCTAATTTTGATAAGAACATAGTCTTGTACACTGAAAGAGCAATAATACTTTATTTAAAATATATACAAAATTATTACTTTAAAACATATATACTACTGTCCAACATACAGCATATAACACTGGTTGACAGAAATTTGGATACCTTCATTCATTCAGCTTGTGATTTCTTTTTTGCTCCTGAAGAACATTCTCTTAAGCTCCCACCAGAGGGGAGGTCCCAAGGACCTGTTACCCAGGGTGGTCTGGCTGTGCTTCTGGACACCACTGAAGCCAAGCAACTCGTCTTGAGGAAACTGAAGGCAAAACCTGGCCCTGCCTGGTGCACTAGGGACACGGAGTTGACCGGACCCACGTCAATCAGTCACACACCAACTGCCAGTCTTCATGTGCGTTCTCTCTCTTTCTCTATCTCTCTGCGCTCTCGTATATGCATATTATATGCATATAAATGGATGGGGGAGTTGGTGAGAAAGTGGCAATTATTTCCTTAACAGACCTTCCTCTGGGCTTAGGTTAATGTAAATCATGTTCTCTTTCTTTCCCTCTGTCACTGGTACTGCAGGAAAAGAGCAATAGAATGGGGAGTTGGCCTCTTACCAGTCTTGGAAAGGAAATGAGAAAAGAGACAAAAAGAGACCTTCTGTGCTGTTAGACCAAATTCAAGTTACGATTATCCTGAAATGCGTTGGACAACTGCTTTTTGTCACAACCCATGCATTATTCGTCACTATTCCCACAGTGCCTTGCATCTACTAGGCACTTAATAAAAGCTCATTGCATGGATAAACAAACACACACAGGGGATCTGGTGAGTCCAAGTAGGAAAGGAAACAGACACACTTAGAATCTGAGCATCTGTGAAACAGTAAGGGGCATTGGACCTCATCTGGACCTCCTTCCTTCCTTGGCAATGGGGGAAACTGAGACCCTGTGAAGTGCGGTGAAATGAACAAGTTCACAGGACTAGCCCCTGACAGAGTTAGACTTGCAATCAGATTTTTGGAATCTCCTTGAATTTCCCACTGTCTTCAGATTTGAAACTGTAACAAGAACTCAGAGGCCTCAGTGGCATGCCTGAACTTGAAAATCATCCCCTGACATCAGAAGCTCCTGATGGTGACGGGTGGCCCTGGGCACAGTGGCTGAGTGGATAGCACAAGCAGAAAGGTCCCCTCCAGGCAGCTTTAGTCCTGGGCTCCTGGTTCCAGCTGGGGTTGGGAGCCCCAGGTTCTGGCAGGTGGCCAGGACAGCAGCAGTCAGACTGTGGATCTGAATGAGGTAGGAGGAAGGCAGAGCTCAGTGGGGAACTGCTCAGAGCTCAGCGGGTCAGGTGTTTATGATGCCCCCCACTCCAGCCCCTGTGCTGAAGTCCATGCAGCAGCTCACCAAGACAGCAGCCTTGGGCACTTGGGAGAAAACATAAACCAAGCCCACTGACCGCTTCTGAAACTGAGAGCAAGTCACTATGGGTACTTACTGAAAAGATGAATTACAGAAAGAATGGGTTTCTTCTGTGCATGGGATGGATGGCATGAAACAAAGGGAGGCATGGGGAACAGTGGAGGGAAAGAGAGAAGGGGCAGGGGGACTCTCATGGCCCAGAGGGAGAGCTTCAGGGCCTGGGGACAGGGCTAGGCCAGGTAGGAGCAGTTGGGTAAATGCAGGACCACTTGGGTGGGCTTCTTATTTCAGCTGAGCTACCCCGATCATTCTCTGGGCTTCAAGCCATGGACACCTCCCATGTGTCCCACTGAGCAACTGAAAAGCACAGGAGCTCACTCTACTTCCTGGTGTGATTTTGGTTTATCAAAAGGAAGATTGTGCATGATCAGAAAGGCACACCTGACCAACATAAAGAGCCTTGTGTGTTTCCCATGCTCCACAAACATAAATACCTATGAAGAAGGCTGGTGTCAAACGAAAGGAGTGGTAACCCATAAGATCATCCCTTCTGGGTTTCCCATCTCAGAGCAGTCACCACAGGGTTGCTCGGAAGCAGGTGCATAAGCAGCTCTTTAGAGCCTTTCTCCAGCCCCACATTCAGTCTCCCTGCCTTCTCCCTAACTTTCTGCCCCCATATGCTTACCCCATTCCCACTTTATCTCAGCTACCTTCCACTTTCCATCAAACCCCAAAACGGCTCTTCTCCAGTGAGAAACAAAAATAATACATCTTGCAAACGTGGGAGCTGCAACCCATCCGGGAACAGATGGTACATTTGTGCTTACAGGGAGGGCCACCAAAACTGCAGATTACCACCAGCCCGCCAGGACACAGATCAGAAGGGCGTATGAGCTCCTTCCGGCCGGGAACTAGCGCATGGGGCTCCTCCCGCCGGCATCCTCCTAAACGGCGGACTGGTTTTCATTGCACACATAGACCGTGCTGGGCTGGATTCTCCTCCGGATCCGCTCAGGCACTTTGGGGAGGATTTGGACGGTCTGGGGCAGCAGCTCAATGCAGGCCTCGCGGAATTTTTTGATTCTCCAGCAGTAGACGATGGGGTTGAAGACGGACTTGAGGTAGCTGAGCCACAGGACGCAGGAGCTGGTGGTGTAGAAGGAGGAGCTGCAGTAGAAGCCCCGGCTGAACACCGAGAGCAGGCTGTAGACCGAGTGCGGCAGCCAGCACAGTGAGAAGCCCACGAAGAGGATCAGGATGGTGGTGCAGGCCTTGGTCTTGAAGCTCAAGTCCAAGCTGACCTGCTGTTGCCGCTGCAGCCTCCGCAGGCCGGCCCTGGTGAGCTGTCTGAGGTCCAGGCTGTCGGACTCATTGTGCACGCGGATGGCGTTCTTGCGGACCGTGTGCAGAATGCACAGGTAGGAGCACAGCATGATGCCGAAGGGCACGAAGAACACAGCCACCACCAGCGCCACCACGTAGGCGCGTTCCGCCGGGAACTCCGTGTAGCCCAGTACGCACTGCGGGGCCCGCGCCGGCACCTCCATGAACGTCCGGCCCGCCAGCGAGGGCGCCGACACGCAGAACGACAGCGCCCAGGAAACGGCGATGATCCTCTTGGCCCGCCGCGGGTTCAGCTTGTCCTGGCGTTGGACGATGATGAGGAAGCGGTCCACACTGATGATGAGCAGGATGGCCACGCCCTCCAGGACAAAAAACCAGTAAAGGGTGGCTGAGAGCCGGCAGAAGTAATCCCCAAAGTGCCAGTGGACCGTGATCAGGGTGACGGCCGTGAAGGGCATGCAGCATAAGGACAGCATGATGTCGGAGAAGGCCAGCGTGGCCAGCAGCAGGTTGATGGCGGAACGCATGGCTGGCCGCTGGTACACGATGATGCAGACCACAGAATTGCCGAGGAATCCCACCACGATCATTAGCATCATGATTATTGCCAAGGATATCCTGAGGGGGGCAGGGGGTGTGGTGACCCCAGAGGCTGACACGTTGCTCCCATTCAGCAGCAAGTACTGGTAAGTCTCAGTGGTGGAGCTGTTGCAGGCCATCATGGAAAAAAACCTGGAACCCAGACGGAAAGGACTGGAAGGACTCCCCTCAGCGCTTCGGTGGCTGCCATTTTCTGTCTGTCGGTTGCATGTCTGGGATCTCTAGGGCATGGGAATGGTGGTGAGCAGAAGTCTTTCTTTGGGAGCGGTAACCAGGATTTGCAATTCATGGATCACAGCTTCATCGTCTGCAGACAACTGACTGTGTCTGCAGCTTCCCGCTTGGATGGTCTCTGTAGCCTAGAGCAGAGAGGAGCAGGGGAGAGAAGGGAGTGAGACTTTCCAAGCACGTTTTGCACACAGCAGTGTTTAGATTTTACAGGTATTATAAACATGGCGGTGGAGAGAAAGAATGACTCATTGATTCATTCACCATTTGGGATAAAGCTTGGCAGTCGCAAATACTGTGTGCCTTGTCAAGTAGCCCAGGGAAATCTCATCAGACCTACTTTGTCGTGGGATGAGGAAGGGAATACTCTGTAGTCCATATTTATTTAATGAGCATGCATTTGATACATTTTATTGTAAGGAAGTTCATAAATACATGGAAGTTGATGCTGTTGCTACAATATTTTTAACTTTATTTATTTTTTTTTTAAAGATTTTTATTTATTTGTCAGAGAGAGAGGGGGAGAGAGAACGAGCACAGGCAGACAGAATGGCAGGCAGAGGCAGAGGCAGAGGGAGAAGCAGGCTCCCCGCCGAGCAAGGAGCCCGATGTGGGACTCGATCCCAGGACGCTGGGATCATGACCTGAGCCGAAGGCAGCTGCTTAACCAACTGAGCCACCCAGGCGTCCCTTAACTTTATTTTTTTTAAGATTTTATTTATTTAATTGACAGAGAGAAAACAAGCAGTGGGAGCGACAGGCATAGGGAGAGGGAGAAGCAGGCTTCCCACTGGCTGGATCCCAGGACCCCCAGGATTGTGACCTGAGCTGAAGGCAGACGCTTCACCGACTGAGCCACCAAGGCACCCCGTAATTTATTTTGAGATAAGTGTAGATTCACATGCAGTTGTGAGAAAGAAAAAAAAAAATCAGTGAGATCTCATATGCCCTTCACCCACTTTTCCCTAATAGTAAAGTCTTAAGTTAAAGTAGTGTTGCCTTGCCGTAGGATTACTTTTGGAAATGCTGATGGAAAGGAAGAAACTCTATACCTAAAGATAGGTTCTTTTAAAAGATAATGTTGATTTTTATTTCTTGTCTCATAGGTGGGGTAAGAATGGTGTCCAGTAGCCCACGTGTGGACTCAGATCGCCTGGGCTGGGTACAATCTACACCCACTACTTATCTATCCCTGGGCAGCCGCCAGCAGGTGGCTGAGCCTCTGCTGACAGGACTACCTCGTCTGTAGCCCATAAGTAATAACTAGGCCTACTACAGAGGAGCTGCAAAGATGAAATGGGAGAAAATGCACAGAGTGATTTAACCACACCTAGATCATAGCTGGTATTCAAGAAATGTTAACTGTTATCATTGGAGCCCCAAGGAAAAGCAATCACAATGTTACAATGGCTATTGTTTCATTTGTATGTTATACACATAGAATATTTGCATCTGTTCTAGACCAGCGGCTCTGGGTACCCCAGGGAGAGGGTGTTCGTAATACATTTCCCGTTCCCCCACCCCTCAGCATTTTCAGTACAGGCATACCTTGTTTTACGGCCCTTCCCTTTGCCGTGCCTCGCAGATGATTGCATTTTGTTTGTGTGTTTGTTTACGAACTGACAGTGTGTGGCTACCCCGGGTCGAACAAGCCTATCAGCACCCTTTTTCCAACAGCATTTGCTCTCTTGGCGTCACTGTGTCACATTTTGGTAATTCTTCCACTATTTCAAATTTTGTCATTATCATTCTATTTGAACTGCTGCAAACTCATGTTAAAACGTTAATGTGTGAGGAGTTGCTTCTTACAGGTGAGTAAAGAAAGTGTTTCTTGAGATGGAATCTCCTCCTGGTGAAGAGGCTGTGGAGATTGTTGCAATGACAGCAAAGCATTCCGACTGTTCCGTGAACTCCATCAATAAAGCAGTGGCAGGGTTTGAAGATAGACGCCAGTTCTGGAAGAGGTTCTACTGTGGGTAAAATGCTGCCCAACAGCTTCGCCTGCTATAGAGAATCGCTCGATCTCTGTGGCAAAAGTCATCTTTGTCTCATTTCAAGAAATTGCTACAGGGACTAGTGTGGCAGTGGTGGGGGACAGGAGAGAGAAAGAAAGAAGGAGAGAGGGAGGGAGGGAGGGAGGGAGGAAAGAAAGGAAGGAAGGAAGAAAGAAAAGAAAGAAGGACATTGCCATGGCCCAGCCCCCTGCCTTCAGCAACCACCACCCTGATCAGCAGCAACCATCAACACGGAGGCAAGACCCTCCACCAGCAAAAAGATTACAAATTGCTGAAAACTCAGATGATGGATAGCATTTTTTAGCAAAGTATTTTAAAATTAAGGTATGCGTGTGCTTTTTTGAAGATAGAATATCATTTGGCACTTATAGGCTACAGTTTAGTGTAAGTACAACTTTTTTTTAAAGAATTTATTTATTTTTTCAGAGAAAGAGCAAGCACAAGCAGGGGGAGCGGCAGGAAGAGGGAGAAGGAAGCCCCCCACCAAGCAAGGTGCCCGACGAGGGGGACCCGATCTCAGGACCCCGGGATCACAACCTGAGCTGAAGGCAGACGGCCAACCGACTGAGCCACCCAGGCATCCTGTTAGCACAGCTTTTATATGCGCGGGGGAACCAAAAAAGTCATTTGACTCACTATATTGCGACAGTTGCTTTATGGCAGCGGTCTGGAACCGAACCAGCACTATCTCTGAGGTGTGCTTGTATAGCTGATTGGACGGGCAGCTGACCCACTGGCAGCTAATGCATAGCCTGGTCAATGAAAGCAGAGCCTCACTCACTCAGCCTGAAATCTGAATTAGGAACTACTAAGCCACTAAAGCAGCTGCCTTGAGGGATGTAACAGAAGGGTATATAGAGAGAAGTCTCCAGGCCACAAGGTATGATAGATACTCTGCCTTTGCTTCTCTAGTTCTCCTGGCTACTCTCTCCCTTGCCACTGTGGGAAGGGAGTCAGGGGAGGGCTTTTTGCTCTGGCCCCCTCCCACCTGGTTGTGGTTGGCAGTGGTTTATTTCTCTCCAAAACTCTCAGCTCCTCCAGGGAGGCTGCCCTGCAGCCCGGCAACCTCTGCAGATTCCCTCCTGTCTCAACCTGGAGGCTTAGGGGTGACAGGGCTTCCCGATGCTGCTAGCCCAGGGTGCTTCTCCAGCCCTCCTGGGTCTCTCTTAACCCGGCCTCTCCTTTGACAAGAATCCCTTATTAATCAGGGGCTGATCTCCTTCCTATCTACACCCTGATTGATACAAGGGGTCCTGGCCAACCAGAGCTATGAGGAGGCAGAAACCAAGAGTAAGTAGCTATTAGGAGGTAGAGAAAAGTGACATGTGTGTGGCATAAGGAAATAGAAACACAGGGTAACCTACCTCAGTTCATGACAGGTTTCCAATCAGAGTTGCATTTCCAAATGCAAATCAATATTTATGCCTTTGTTTTTAATTGCATTCTTAGCTTTTCGCTTTCATATAGCTGTTGGCCATTGGTATGTCTTCTTTGGGGAAATGTATAATCAAGTCTTTTGTCTATTTTTTTCATTGGATTGTTTTTTCACTCTTGGGTTGTATTTCTTTATATATTTTGGATATTAACCCCTTATCAGATCCACAGTTTGCAAGTATTTTCCCATTCTGCAGGCTGCCTTTTCATTTTGCTGATGGTTTCTTTTGCTGTGCAGAAGCTTTTTAACTCGATGTCCTCTAGCTTCTTTATTTTTGCTTTTTGTTGCTTGTTGATGTCATATCCAAGAAATCATTGCCAAGACCAATGTCAAGGAGCCATTTTTCCATGTTTTAATAGTTTTGGGTCTTACATTTAAGCCTTTAATCCATTTCAGGTAAAATTTTTGTGTGTGAGATAGGGGTCCAATTTCATTCTTTTGTTTGTGAATATCTGGTTTCCCCACCATCATTTATTGGAGACTATCCTTTCCCCATTAAATATCAAATATTATTTGGTAAGGGATATTTATGGGTTTATTTCTGGGCTCTCAATTCTGTTCCATTGATGTATGTACCTGTTTTTATGCCAGTACCATATCATTTGGATCACAATAGCTTTTAATAACATTTGAAATCAGGAATTGTGATGTTTTTAGCTTTGACCTTCTTTCTCAGGATTGCTGTGGCTATTCAAAGTCTTTATGAGGTGTTTTTTTTTTGTTGTTGTTGTTGCTGTTGTTGTTTTGGCTACTGTCATGTTTCCTTGATTTTTTATGATCTCTGTGCTCATGGGGTGGTGTCTGCCCATTTGAGGAAATATGCACTTCTTCTAGTCTTTATAGACTGACTTCAGCAGCCAAGCTGGTCTAGAGATTCTGGGTGGGTCATCTGGTGATGTCTGGGTCAATAGGTGAGCAGCCCTGTTGCTTGGGTACAATGGGTGAGGCTTGGGCCTTCAGCCTGCAGTTATAGGCCTGAGACCTGGTCTATGTGGGTGGGCCTGGATCCAGGGTCCCCAGGGGTCAAGCAGACTCCAGGGATCACTGAGGTGGGCCCCAAGTCTGGATTCACAGGCTTGGACCAAAGTCTGGGGACATGAGGGTGGTCAATGACCTGGGGCTTCAGGGACAGACCTGGAGATGGGTCTGCAAGGGCCTGTCTGGTGTTAGAGTAAGCTAGGAATCTAAGTACGTGAGAGCTGGTTTAGGCTCTGAGTCTATGGGGGCTGGTTGGTCCTGGGATGGGCCAGTGGCCTGGGTCAGTCCATAGTAGTTGGCCTGGAGCTTGGGCTGATTGAGAGCTGGAGGCCACAGGAGTTACTGGGCCAGCAGGAGCCAGCTGACATTGGTGTGAGCAGGTACCCTGAGTTCACAGGAGCCTCTAGGAGCTTGGTGCCCTGGGAGCCACCTAGGGCTGTAGGAATTGGCATGGTACTTGTCCCTGGTGAAGTCAGGTGCTCACTTTTCTCCTCCCGTGGAGACAGGGTGTCTCTCTGTGCTGGGCTGCCAGGTTTGGGGTAGGGGATGATGGAGGGAATGTGAATCATCTTTCTTTGCCTCCTTTGTTATTTCCAGGAGAGAGGATTCATTTAGCTTGGCAAATGTTTCCATAAGATGGAATACACTTTTGAATTGCTAAACAATGTATCATTCCTTATGTACTTCATTTTAAAATCACCAAATAGTGATAT